ATGTTTTATTTTTGTATATTATGTTTTTGATGTCAGTTAGTAAATTGTAGCTTATTAATTACCATAGTACCTGTTATTAAATTTACAGAAAAAAATACATCTAATAACACTCGAACGAAACATCTTTTCAATATGTTAAATATGTTTACAGGATGGTAAGTGGTAATCGATTTCGATTCATCAGACCTGATAGGCTTTTTGCCAGTAAAGTATAGATGTATATACAGTTACAGTATAAAATGTTTCATATGTTATTGGACTTATTATGTTTATTTATTTTCTGTCTGTTAATACTCAAGTTTTTGTTTATACTATTAATGTTTTGATATTGTGATTTTATACGTTTGTATTTATAATAAAATTAATTAAATGTTTTTATTGCTATGTCTTATTATATGTCCTTTTTAGCAAATTTCCCTTTAGGGAAGTAGCTATTACAGTAGGTGGCACGGTAAGACCTAGGCCCATAACCGATTTACTTTTTAATTTTGATATCCCCAGAGGCCAAAAACACCATTCGTTCAAATTTTTATATATGTATATATATATATACAGTATATATATATATATACGTCCGTGAAAGCGATAAGTTGAGTAATTTTTGTCCGATTTGATGAAATTTGGTTTAAAGGTGTAAAGCTGGATAAACATTTTTGATCCTCTAAAGACAAAATTTCCCAATTTTCCTCCAGATCTTTTTAAAGAGCTTAAAAAACAAATAATTTAGTATATCAGTGTTTTTGTACAATTATTGGCTACGGAGAAAATTAAAAAAACTTATTTTAAAATTCCTATGTTATTCTTATGGAGAATAATGTAAAATGTTGTAGTTTGCTTGTTTATGGATATATTTTGATCAAACTTGGTAAATTTATTTATTTTATACTAAGTTATTAATATTTTACTAAAAAAACACACTTATCCTCCCTGTAGCAGCAAGCCTAGGTAGCTTACTCATAACACCTAATGTTAATTAAATATATTTAATTGAAAATCAATCCAGGCAAATAGAAATTTGCTTAGTCGGCAGGTTTGCTGCGGCGGGGGTATTTAGTGTCTGTAATAATAGTCTTGTTGGAAAAGGCCTGGCCTAGAGGATTATCACCATGTAGGACAGATGTTGGTTGGCTAGTTCAACCAGGTAATGACAGAGGTTGAGAGAAAAATGGAACCTGTGATATCAGGTTGTCCAGGGGGTTCTCTGTTCTCTGCCAAGAAGCTTGACCTTGACCAGGTTGTGGTCTAGCTAGGTCATGAAAGAACTGAATGCCAGAGATGGTGCTAGACCTGGAGGCATAGGTCACATATGTTGAACTATCTTGATGTAATGTGTCATACAATCCCAACTCCTGTTCCTCTGTGTCAAATACAACAAGTATTTTTGATTTGTAACATAGTTTGCTTAAATGGTGCTCTCAGGGGCGGACTGGCCCGCCGGCCCACCGGCCGGAGGGCCGATGCGCCTTCTCAACATTCCAATATTTGCGCCCTCGTTAAAGGAAAAATTCATAAAAATTTTTAAAAAATGAGACGAGATGTATTTTTTAGAAAGCAAGAGGAAAAACTTAGAGTAAAAGTTTCAGCAGTGAATAGCAAAACATAAAGTCGGGTGTGAGACCTGAATAGACACTGTCGACAAGCGAGAGCAAAGCAGCTCTTCTCTCTCGTACGTGTAGGCCTACTCCGAGTGGAAGGCACTTACTTTACTCTGTGGTCTGAGCTACTTAAAAACAGCTGTCCTCTTCCCGCGTCATTTTACGCCGATCCCGAAAAAAAACTGCACTGCGACCACGAGTACTAGAAAAATGCCGGTATGGATCATAAACATAAACAAATTACGTTTTTGGCCCGAAAATAAACATTATTTAACATTGCTTGAATGGAACCATAGACTAACCAACTATGTTTTATCTATGATGGAACCATAGAAGGGAGTATGTTTTATCTATGATGGAACTGCCAAATGATATGTTCAATGCTCAGTATAGGATTCGGGCCAACAACGTCATTTGTTTATGTTTGTGATCCATACCGGTATTTTTCTAGTATTCGTGACTGCGACTACATCCGACATCGGTCGGTGTCACGATGTTGTCTGTGATAAACAACTAGTGAAGATAATTTAATATTATTCATATTTGTTATAATATTTAATTATTGCTCACACTATAACTATTTCACTTTAAGTCACATTTAATTTTATCAATATCAACTCAACTCTCTTGTAAAATGGCGTTTGCCGTGCATGTAATAAATAAATAAAGAGTGTGAGTTGCCAGTGCCAATTAAAATGTGACTCTCTTTAGTGAGTGTTTGATTTGTGTCTCTGTGTCGAAAGCTTCAATTTATTTTTATATTCTTTACCTACACAGGAAACATGAACGAAAGCAGTATTGTAGAATCACCACTTTTACAAAATTTAAATAGATTTAGTGACAGTGTATTTATTTGTTAACTTAACCATTACACAGTAAAGGTTAAACAGTAAACAGTATTTTAATATGTGGCTACAGCCTATTAATTAACTATTTCAATATGCACTATGGGACTAATTCTGCCAACTTTCCTATTTTACTTACAGATAGCCAGCCTAAAATACCTTCTTAGTTTTCTCTAGGCTATTTCGTTTGTAGAAATAGGTTAGGTAGGCCTACTTTAGGGTTACAGTTTTGACTTAATGTAATGCTAAAAAGTTTAAGTCAATAAATTGGTTTTGTTCACAGTGAAAGCATATTGTTTGTGTTAAAATAATTTCATAGAAATCAAAAATATATAACTTCTGTTATTTACAGTGCCAAAAAATGCAACAGTTGCAAGTTCATGCTGTGAACAGGAAGCAAATGATTTATATTGTATGCATGCAGCCAAGCCATGCAAGGGAAAACAAAGAAAATACACAAATATAATACGAAAGAACCTAAGAAAATCATTTGTATTTTTATTTTTGTTAGGATATTTACTGTCAGAATAGCACCAAGTCGTGAGGGGAAATAGTCTAAATTTTGTACACCAAACATTAACCAATAGTGTCAGTTATCAGATTTCTGATTTTCCACTGTTAATGCCTCTAGATTGCCTAAAAATGCGAGATTACAGGTATAATTTTTAAAAAATGTCCCGGGGGAGGACCCCCGGACCCCCCTCTGTACAGGGGGTATTCCATACCCCCCAGACCCCCCGGTTGGCGCCTTCGGGCTGGTCAAGGTTTACGCCCTAATAGGGTACCCAGTCCGCCCCTGGGTGCTCTACAAAAATTGTGTATTGCATGGACAAAAAGTTTCTTTTGAGTTGAGAGGTATTCATTAATTACTTCTCCAACACCAGCAATCAATTTTTAATGTAAAATTATGATTAACTGCAACCTGCAACTCTCGATCTTGTGGAACCTTCACAGAATTTCTGACCTCATCAGCTTCACCTCAGTGTTAAACTTCCGAAAAGAAGCCACGTTACGGCCTATAAATTTAAATATACTATTTTGTAGTTACTTTCGGTGGATTCCTATGATCTGAAGCCTTCTACATTTACCAGCAAGCAGTTTACAAAAGTGGCACCAGTTCTAGAAAGTTTGAGGTTTTCTGGTTCCGTATGAGTTCCTTAGAGGCCCATGTCCCAGAGGGAACAAAGCTGGCTTGCAATGTGTATTTCAAATAACAGTAGCAAGTGTTACACAAACACTGAATTTTACTTAGTAAAATTATTAATAGGAAACGAGAATAACCCTCAAATAGGTTGATTTGCCTGAAGTAGCCATAAAGCATGAAGGAAAAATAACAAAATGAAAAAAAAAAATACTTGACCCACGACATTTTTAATTGTACTTATGTGGTTACAGTTTGGATCCTGGTTTCATACAACTAAAATACCAGAACAAATGGGTTTTTGTCTTGGACAGTTTAGTCCGAAAAATTGCCAGATGCCGGGGACAAAGCGCTCCAGAGTTGAAGTGACACCACTCCCCATTCTACAGAGCGAAAGGTGGTCGGCCATGACGTCATAACTTATTTGGAACGTCTTGCTATCGCGGAGTTTCTTCTTTGTGCGTTCCTACAGAACTATTAATGTAGCAAGTATCTGTTGGCTGTTCAGTGCCGGATTTAAGGTACCTAGTTTGCGGCCCTCGGCTAAATTTAGCCCAAGCAGCCCCCGCCGCACCGCCCCTTAGGTGGAACTTTTCACCTAGCATGATCAAAAAGTGAGTCTTTAGGGTTTAGTTCCTGCGACCATGGCGAAATAGTGATTATCTGCTAACTGCTAATAGTTATGTCAAATTATTGATTTTAGAAAATAAACTTTCAGTCTTTTCTAACATTTCTGAACACAACGATGTGGCCGCATATTTTGCTTTGCGGGCTTACGTCAGTCGGCAAACTGTTCAATCCTGTCAAATTGGTATACTGAATCTGTTGAAGCGTGATTTGAAGAACGCCAGGGGGGCTTAAACACACAGTGAGTAAACAAATAGAGGAACTAAGCTGGCTCGAATACAAACAAATGATCCCCACATACGCAATGTTTCATCTATGGCAATGTTCATTTTGGATTTAGATGTCAAATAATATTTTCATTTACATAATAAACTCTGTTATATTTCGAGACTCTATGATTTTCTATTTATTTATTTTCCTTGACATGACCACTATAATTGAGCTTTAACAAAGATTTCCAAGATTTGTTATAAATTTACGTTATTTTTATATAGTATCACATTTATGAGATAAAAAGAAAAGTGAAATTTATAGAGTTGGTGTTCCTGTAGGCTTTACCGACGGACGACGGTATTTTTCCATAAACATAAACATATGAACAACAAAACAAAACACCCGAATTCTTGGAATTGGAATTTATTTAACCTAACCTAACTAACTAAACTAAACTCTACAATCTAGGGTAGGGATAGGCTAGAGAGTGGCTAAACACAAATAATAGGTAAACAGATCAGTGATCAGTTCAATATTCCATTCAATAAACATTCATATGAATTCGAAACTAGGGAGACAATTTGCATACTACAGGCCCTATTTTAAACTAAATATAACAAGTCAAGTGCGTGTGACTATTGTCCGATCCTGTGTTTGAATAATGAGATGAAAAGGATTTTTTTATCATTTCTAATGCCTTGCCAATGTTTAAACTTAAGTTAATTAGGTTTAATTCGTTGTGTTTTATATCTATATATCGTTTCCAATATTGAACTTACAATGTAAAAATTATATCACTGTATAGGCCTGCAATAGCCTATCATAAATTTTCAGGCTAAGTCTAGGCTAGGGTGTTCCTATAAGTTAATTAATCATGTTTTTGAGAAGTTCCAACCTAGTATTAGCAAATTTTCGAACGTTTATCACAGTATTATTCATTGCAATCTTAGTATTATTTTTTCAAATGAAAATATTAAGTCTCGAAGAAAGTCAAAAACAATTGGGTAAGTTTGTGCTCTTTAATCACCTAGGCTAGCTTATTTGAGAAACTTTAATAAGTTATCCAACTCCATCGGATTATCGAACTGTACAAATAAGCTACTTTGATCGATTCGATCGATAACCAAACTTAAACTAAGTTTAACTTAATCAAAACCTAAACTCTCTAACTTAGGCAATAACTTACCAGTTGTAAGTTAATTGCCTAGATCGCTAGTACGATAGAGTTGGACAAGTTTATTAAAGTTTTGCGGTTTTTTTAATTGAAAAAACTAAGAATTAAGAATGTTATCAGCCTAGCTTGTTATTGTGATTGTTAAATCAACTGTTTCGTCACTCTTAGACAGTCTAAACCTAATTCTTTGGAGGCACTGCACATCCCAAGACTTCCTTTTATTTATTTCAACGACAACCACCATTTTACAAAAAATACTCCTGATACTCCAATTAAGTTAAAGGTTTTTAGGGTTAGGCCAATAGCATTTGCAATGACCAATGCCACCCTATCTCTGTGCAGTCGAAAAAAAGCTAAGTAAGTAAGCCAATGTGTTCTGAACAGTCATTTCTTTAAAAGGCGATGTTGAAGATTTTGATAGAGGGAAGGCTGTCACACTTATCATGAGGACCAGACTCTAGAGGGCAGTACTTCAATATGCCATCCTGTAGCTTGAGTCAAAACCTTAAGTGATGCCTCCTTTTGGCAATCAAGATTTTTTTTTTTATTTGTATTATCTGATAAATAGGCTGCTTTATTCACTTGGATAGCTCATTGAGGAGCCTATTTTCTGTTGATCCAGCTTAATTAAGTAACTCGTGACTTGTCTGCCATATCACTGAGATTAAATTCTTCAATTTTCAAAATATTAGTAGGCTGGTGTTAATGTGCAGTAGAATCACTGTCCTCCGCCTCCAGTTAATCCAACTATAGTTTGGCCGCTTAGATAGCAATCTGGGCGCTAATGCTAACCAATGCTAGAGGAGGTCGCTATTTAAGCGGCGGAACTATAGTCTCAAGATTGCATGCATACCCATGCCAACTCATGGATGACTCTCTTGCTGTCGCTCAGTTGTTTATGTACCATTACACAATGTTTGGGTGTTGTTTCTATCTTTGTGCATTTCTTGAGAGTTTTGTAAGCCTACTTCTACTTGTGTGTGTTTTTAACATTTTAACTAAAACACCCTAAGTTAGTTGTTATTCGTCAAATCAGTTTAGCAAATTGATTTTCATTGTGTAGGCCTATCTCTCTTACAGTTTGCATTTAACTTAACAACTATAACTTAAATTATTTAAATTTACAAATGAAAAACGACCATAAATGCAAACTTAGACCAACTTTGAGTTTTAAATTTTCAAAACAATATTTGGAGCTATCAAAACTTAAATAGGCCCATGTAAGGAAGTGATTACTGTTTAATTATTTAAATTGTGCCTTTTTTTTAGAGAAAACCGTTGAGCAACTAGTCAAATCCAACAACAATGTAAGAAATAGCATATTGAGCAACTCAATAGATCAAAGGAAAACAAACTCAGACAGAGATTTAATCATCATTTACAACAGAGTTCCTAAAACAGGGTCAACAAGCTTTGTCAATGTGGCTTACGACATTTGTAAGCGGAACAGATTCAATGTTCTACACTTAAATGTGACAGCTAACCAGCATACAATGTCATTGGCTGACCAGGTAAGTAAATACTTCTAACCCTCTTTCTTACGTAGGAGAGAAAACTTTAAACAGAACAATTTACCAAATCTTAATGAAATAATAATGCCAGTTAATGTAGATGTTGACATTTTTTTTCTATTTTATTTGTTTTAATCATAAGCATGTGCCAATAAATATGATTAGGATTATGATTATGATTTTAAATTATAATTTAATGATTGCCTCCTTTCCAGGGAATAAGAAAACAAGCGCTCTTTTGCTCTTGGCTATTAACTTTGTTTTATAGAAAAATCTGAACAGTTTTTAGCAAAATTTTCATATAGGCATTGAGTATACATGCTTATAAGAGGGGACAAATAATGTTAATAGTTGTTACCGATTTTGGGTACCTACCTAGTTTGGACCGCTGACGCTTGGGTCGCGGTAGTCGGTTGGTAGTGCAGTGCCTCTGAGCACCTTTTAATTATTTTGTAACACAAATATATTAAAACAACAAAACTACAACTGAACAAATTAATTGCATCGACAAAAACAAATTTGACTACATGCAGGCTTCACTATATAAAAAAAATAACTAAACTGCATTACCGACATACACGAGGTGGCCGACCTCTTCAATAGGTAGCTAAGTTACTCTTCTTGTCCAGGTAACGGTAGCCCCCCGTTGAGTGTCTACTCTAGTACGTGTAGCCTACACTCAATGATATAGGGAATATAAGCTGTTACTGTCATTGCAAGACCTAGGCCCAGAACTCATATATTTTTCCTTTGGCTGTTGAAGATCTTTTTTTACACTAGAATTGTAACAAGGTTATTAGGATATACATAAAGTAAATTGAATTTGTTTCAGTCTCGATTTGTTCATAATCTCACACATTGGACAGCTCGAAAACCTGGTCTCTATCACGGACATGTCAGCTTTATAGACTTTGCGAAGTGAGTAAATAGTTACCAATTTATTCAATTTACCTACTTATATACAAAAAACATTACTTTGTACTAAGTACTGCCACACATAAAATTACCTATGAGCACAGACTTGCTTAGTTATGTATGAAGTTGTCTGTGCCTGCAAACATGATATTTATTTCCTATTGGATTTTAAAAAATGTTAGCCTATTTATAAGAAGTCATTCAATCACTTAATAATCGTGAAAATGAGCAATATCTAAATGGGAAGATGACAGTCACTAAATATAGCTTTTATAGAATTGATCATGCTGTTAAAATAGACTGTAAACTAAATTTTCAAGACTGTCTAAACTAAGAAGAATTTGAATAGCTTATGGAAGTAATGCTATTAAAATTAAGTTACTAGGCTTATTCCTAGACATTACACCTATATTGAGTTAACAGAGTTATAACTAAAATACCGGTACAGAGTTAACTTGAGTTAGTCTAAAGCTGGGTTTTCCTAGATGCGGAAGAGGAGAGCGGAGGGCGGTGAGCGGAAAAGCGATTAACATGGCATTCCGCTCCGCTTCTAGGAAAACAGTTACATTAAATTACCTAAGACAAGAAGAGTCCGCTCTCCGCATTCCTCTCTTCGCGCTCCGCTTCCGTGCCTAGGAAAACCCAGCTTAAACAAGCGCCGATGTAATTTTTCTGTTCTGGTCATTATTTTGAGATTCTCTTCAATGTCCCAAAATTAAGACCATTACCGGTACTTAAAATCTTGTAGGTGTTTTATTTGGTTCGTTTTTGTTAATTTATCATGTTAATTTAACAATTCAATACAGATTTGGGGTTACACAGAGACCAATTTACATAAACATCCTTCGAAAGCCACTGGATCGACTTGTCTCATATTACTACTTCCTCCGCTACGGAGACAACTACCGTCCGCACCTTCTGCGCAGTAGACATGGAGATAAGATGGTAAGATTATTAATCTGATACGCAGAACTTGCGGTAATTAATACCTCATTACTAAGATAAATCCAAACATTAAACAAATTGCCGGTAATGATAAACTTGTTTACCATTTCCAACTCACATAAAAGGTTCTTAAATCATAAATAAAAGTTAGAGCAGATTTGAGAATTTTGACAGTAGCACATCCTATACATGGATCCCATACATCCTATGGTTAAAATATATTCATTTATAACGAAAAAATTGGCTACAGCTAGTTCATATAGATGGGATATATTTTTAATATCCAAGACAATGATGGTATCAATCATTCATAGTAATTCTTTAAGATTCATTAAACACAGAAGTTTGAAAGAAGCATCTTAGATGTAGAAATATATATATATATATTTCATTCACGTCTTTCCTTAGTTAGCAACTTTCTTTAACCTATTTTAAATGCTATGGAGGTTTGTACATTGTCTCTGATGGTTCACAGACATTTGACGAGTGTGTACAGCGGAGGTTAGACGATTGTAACCCAGACAACATGTGGCTGCAGATTCCATTCCTGTGTGGACACGCTGCCGAGTGCTGGTATGTTGCTGCCCTTACAACTTTACAAACAGTTTTTTACCGGTAAAACTAAGGGATGACCTTACTTTTAAAAGTAAGGGATGATGATCTTTTTACAAGTAAGATAGATGATTTATTTCACAAAAAACAACATACGTAACAATGAGAAATGAGTAATATCGGGTTAAGGTCGAGTCGAGCCAAAGGCATGCTTTCAAAGACACGGGATCGAAAAATTAGACAAAAAGATGTTCATGATTTGCCGTAACCTCATGAGATGATAACAATCCATCCATGACTGCAATAGACCTTCACAATTTTATGATCAATCAAGATTTTTGTTTCTTAGGGTTCACGGCAGCAACTGGGCGTTAGAGGAAGCCAAACGTAACCTATTGGCGCACTACCTGGTGGTGGGGGTGACGGAGGAACTGACTGACTTCATCGCCATCCTTGAGTCTGCTCTTCCAACCATCTTCCACGGGGCTTTGCAACACTTTCAATCCAGTAAGTGGGAAATACATAGCATGTGTGACAAGGAGAAGAGGTTGAAAATTAGGACAAAGTGATTTTCAAACCCCCCAGTGATTTTCTTCATTCCTCTTTCAATATTTTACCATCCCTCACACCTTATAACTATTTTCATACTAACTGCATAAGTTTACACTTCTCCATTTTATGGTATAAAAATGCTAAATTAAATACTGACAGTGAATTATTATTACTGTATTATTACCAATTGAGATGGAGATGCCACCTAGGTGTTAACCCAAATATAAGTGAACGATGGGAGTTAATTGGGTAAGATGATTTGTGTAGCTTTGTTACTGAGATCAGCTGGTTCATTAGTAAGGGTCATTAATTAGATACCTAATGATCAGGAACAGCTGGGTTCAGTTTTGAACCATTAAAAACAACTGGCATTTCTCAAGATCAAACCAGCGACCTTTTGAATTACTTTATAACGTAATGAGAGATGAAATCTCTTTTAATTTGTGTGTTTTAGCCCTATTATCTTTATATAAGTTTATTGTTTGGAAATTATCCAAACCGTTGTCTTGTTGCTGTCTAACTTTAATCTTTTGTTAAATATAATTTGATATCCCAATGACAAAATGGTGTGCAGGTCCAAAATGATCCCTGCTATAGATCAAACAAGCAGTTTTCAAAATTGAAGATTGAAGGCGAACACTACAATTCAATTCGTTTATTCACGGCAGAAGCCATTGTACAATAATACCATTACATACGGGAGATAACAAGCAATAATAAATACTAAATAATACAATAGGTGAACACAAGATGCATAAGAATAGTAATACTACTAAATAGAACATACAAAATTACAAAACTACAACAATCCCACTTCCTGCAGAAAGTTCTGTCACCATTGCAATCTTAACTTGTTCCAGGCAACAAGTCACATCTGAGAAAGACTAACCAAAAAGTGGAACCTTCTGAAGAAACGGTTGCGCAGATCAAGAAGTCTCGGATTTGGAGGATGGAAAATGAACTCTACGAGTTTGCTTTGGAACAATTTTATTTTTTGAAGAAGAGAATGGGGATCGGACCAGACGGCGTGGTGTTTGACAAAGGGCAACAGTTCATGTTTGAAAAAATTAGTCCGAAATAAGTGAAACTAAATCTAAAACACATTCCGTTAAAATGTGAAAGCGTAAATTTTACTTTTTATGTAACGGGTAGAAAGGTTTCTGACTCTAAAATACTCTGAATGAATATTTTAGTTTCTAACAAATCAGTTCCAAACCGTTTTAGCACCTCCATTACACAGGCTAGTCACGGCTGGGTAAAAAATATCTCAATATTTGTCTTTTTGTGAATTAGTTTAAAACTGAAATAGGCTATAGCACATTGAAATAACCCCTCAAGCTGTCAAAACAAAATAACCCAGCTTACACGCAACAAAATAAACCTTTCTTTTAGGGATGGACGAGATTGGATTTTTAGTTCGAGACGAGACGAGACGAGATTTTTTATTTCTCATAACATTTCGAGACGAGATCGAGACGGGATTTCCCTTCTCATACACAACGGGAAATGCACGTTCAGAATTTTTACCTGATTTTGTAACATTGTTAGATGACTGTTTAAATACAAAAATAATGATAATAGGCAAGAATATTTACAATCTTTTATTAAAAAACATCAGCATAAAATTTTTTATAAATCACGCCTAACTTATTAAAAATGCCTACGATTAGGAAACATAGTGATATCAGTTAGGATAGAGTTCAACTTATCCTAAAATAAAATAAATCATAAAATAAAATATTAACTTTTATAAAATAGTTACTTGTTTTGACTTTTTTTATAGTAATAAAACATTCCTAACACTGCTAACACTTAACAAAACTTCTCAAATGTTATTAAAATAATTAAAGTAAGATTTACATTTGAAGAATTAATTAAATAAGAACGCCTTCGCAAAGGAAACGCAACTACAACACGCTCCTGTATTGCGGGTATTGCATTGACTTTCTGCAGGCGTTTCTAATTTTTTTTTTTTTTTTTTTTTTTTTTTTTTTAATTCTCGTCTCGATAAAAATCTCGGCCAAAAAGAAATCTCGTCTCGTGTAACGAGATTTAAAATTTCCCGAAAATTTCCCGAAATTTCGAGACTTGACCATCCCTACTTTCTTTTAAATTTATATAGAAGAAGGAGTAAAATGAATTGCACAACAATGACTTCTGTGATATGAAGCGAGAACTTATTTCTTAACAATTCCCTTTAAATTAATGTTAAATAAAAAAAACCTTAATCTTTGTGATTTTGCCAAAATTATTTTTTATTGAAAAAAGATAATAAAAGAGCAGGGGATATGGCATTTTGTTAGCCATTATGAACTATATATAAACACATGATTTTTATGGCTGAAAGCAAGCGAAGTACTTTTCTCCCTTGAAATAAGTCTTTTAGAGCTGTTTGTCACTCGTGTGTGAATTAATGCTAATGTTGAATATTAACACTCTTGAAAAACATCTCCTAGGCCTTTGGTTAGCTTGTGAAAGTTTATGTTCTGCCTATAGACCAAAGTAATATTTTTACTTAATAATCAGAAATGCCTTCCTATGGATCAGTTGTAACTAGTTTTTTGACTAAAAAGGATGTACTTCAGTAAGCCACTCATTGATTGTGCAACAAAATTCTATTTACTTACTCTTTCAGATTTTTACATAAAAATTGATTTGGAAACAAAAGATGCTGTATCACAATAAATTGTGATTGTCTTTAGTATATTTCTATTGTATGTTCTATCAGCAGTCAAGAACTATGTTTTAAGTTTGAAAAGTGATTAAGTTAGTTTAGGAAGAATGGAACAGGATTTTACTTCAGATTACTAAAGTTAGTTTAGGAAGAATGGAACAGGATTTTACTTCAGATTACTACTAGTCAATATATTACTGATATACATTGTACAATTGTTGAAGATTATTAAAATTGCAAGACTTGCGCATTTGACTATTAATAGAACAGTATCGAAACGTTAATGATTGCGTTGCAATATGCTTGGGGCTATAAACATTTGCAAAACATCTTAAAATAAAATTTAATTTATTTATACACTTATACACTTTTTATTGTACTTTAAACATGATCAAAACAAAATAAACTACGTTAAAGGATTGTGGATTAGATTGTAGAATTAGTTGTACATACACATTAGCAATATTTAATGCCTGTTCGGTTTGTACATTAAATCTTTAACCTCATGTAAATAAATAATATAACCTTTATAATATTAATGTTATGAAATGTTGTAATAAATAAAATGTTTATGTTATTTTCTATACACTTTTACATGGCATTTTTTGCAGGGCCAGGAAAAACAATTGTAGGTATGTTTAAAATTGATCAGCCATGACACCAACAATTGAATGGTACGGTTAAAAATGTGTTATACTGTCTAATATTCTTTTACTAAAATTGTTGGTCTGAAATTGTTAAATTTAATCCTGATGGACTACATTTAAAACTTTCTGATTTGAACATGAACCCTACAAAATATTTATCACCTTTAATGTCATCCTGCATAGATATTTTTTGATATTTATGTTGGTTTATAGCTGAGTTAACCCTTTTAACCTCTTTGATTTTAATTTGGTTAAATAATGCCAGTAGTTAGAAACATTTTAATCACAGTTGCAATTCTTTATGACAACCTGTTTTGTCAACTTCCATCTGAGATGTTTACAATTTATTAAGTTGGGCCTCATGTAAGTTGTTCTACATGATAACTGATAATAGAGGCGACTAAAACACAACTTTGATTTTTTTGACAGGAGAGATAACACTAACTGACTAAGATCAGCTGTTTTATCAGTCAGGATCATTTATTGGCCCAATGATCAGGAACAGCTGGGTCCAGTTTCGAACCATCAAAAAGATACTGACTTTTCTCAAGATCGGGACGACTTTTTGATTGTTGGGCGAGTTCTTTAACCACTCAGCTACCCAGCCGGGCAATGCTGATTATACAAATTCCCTAGCGTATTCATTCTAGACTTGGTGTTCAGCTGTCATTATTGAGTTTTGATTGCACATATAATTGTATGTAAATGTTTTATCTGATATCTCATACTTTGAGGTTCAGAGGGTTACTAAAGCATTGTAGATTGTAGTCAATGAATAATTGTGATCATTTTGACACCTTTAATTACTATTCTAGTTTAGTAATTGTTTCAGTATTAAGTTTAGTAGTTGTATAATACGTATAAAATATTTATTTTATTTTGTTGTAATCCAGATATTATTTTCACCTGTCAGTATTTTAATTGTTACATATAAAGGGTGGTCCATAATAACCGCTAACATTTTGTTTTTTGACAGCTCAGCTATTTCATGGATTAGGTAATATCATCTCATTTGCGTTGAATGGTTCCTTAATTAATAGAATTTTTTGTAATTATAAGTTGTTAAAACTATTAAACTTTTCTAATGGATATGGCATAAAAAATAAATAATGTTTAAAATCCATGCAATGTTTTTTTTGCGGGTGTGAAGTAATAAATAAAATCAATACTGTGTTAAATAACAATTACCGTTTATTAAAACTCAAAGAAATATGAATAAAAACTCAAATTCATGAATTTCTTTGAGTTTTAAAAACTGTAATTGTTATTTTTTGTTTTGTTTTTATTTATTACTTCACACTTACAAAAAAAAACATAGCACAATTTTCACACATTATTTATTTGTTTGTGCCACCTCCCTTAGAAAAGTTTAATTGTTTTAACCACTTATAATTAATTAAAAAAAATTCTATTAATTAAGGAATCATTTAACACAAAAATCATCTCTTTAACCCATGAAATAGCTGAGCTGTCAAAAAACAAAATGTTAGGAATAAAGAAATACTTTTAAGTAATTTAAACTTGACGAGTTAATGTTTTAATATTAAACTAATTTCTTATGTCTTATGCGGTTATTATGGCCCACTAGAGTGATTTAAGCTTTGGGAATTATTTAAATATGACTATACTGGATTGTAAGTAAATACTTAATTTTCAGAGGTGATTTTAGAGTGACAAGTTACATAATTATTTTGTAGTAATTGCTTTTGTCAAAATCATGTTTGAATTAGTTGTAGCACAATTTCGTCACAACTACACATGCCTCCAATATTGTTATGGGAATAAAATGTCAACATTTATTATAATAGACAAAATAAATGTACAGTACTGTAGGGCCTAAGTACTATCTCTGAATGAAAAATGTGACATTTTCGGTTTTGAACCAAGCAGTAAGCTTTTAAAATATAATGTCATAAAAGTTTATATTTCTTGTGCCGTCTTAGCTTCGAGAGTTTTCTACCCGATTTGTAAATAGGACTTACAAAGGCTTTTTACTTATAAATACTAGTAAAATTTTAGTTGAGTAGACTAATATATTTTTCTAACACAACTGTATGTTAAGTTTTATTTTATAATATGTTAAGTTTAATTATTCGTTACAAAAATGTGGACAAAAATAATTTATGTTTCATCAGAAACCAACTAATAAATACAATATAAATTCTCTCTCTATACATATTCAATTAAATTCTTTTATCTTTTTTATGTTCAGGCTGAATACAGTAATTGTCTCTGAATCCCCAAAATTTTAGTTTAATGAAGAACAAGTTTTTTTAAGCTACATATATATTTTTATTGTTGTGACAGAAACAGCTTCACAGCCACTGACAATGGCTAGGGGAGTAATTGTTTCACCTTAATCTTTTCCGTCCCGATTATTCTTTTACCATTGTTAATTGTTACACATTATTTAGTCGATGGTTGCTGATTTTCATTATAAAACATACCACTATGTTCTAGGTATAACTCGCCTCTGTGTTGTATGGCAAAGGTCAAATAATCGGGAAGAAAAAAGCCTTGTTTCTTGATTGTAAGTTAATTTAAAACTTTTTGTAACAATTCTGGATATCAATGTGTAAGAACTAACCCATGCAGTAAACCATTTATTTAGCTAATGGTGGGAAAACATTAAAAGTTTGTTACTGTTAAATGTCTATATATCACCTGCATTTGCTCTTTCATAAACTTCTTGGCAGATTTAATTCAAATTACATTAAGTTTCTTTTCTAACAACTCATTGTACATTAAATAAAAGCCTGTTTTGAAACAAAGCCTTATGTTAAAAACATGCAAATTAGATTTTGGATGAGAATTTACTATCGTACCTGATTATTATTTATTTGATGATTTAAATCAGATTAATATTGAAAGTTATTTGGAAAATAAATTACATTTTAACACAATATTTTTTTAATTACTGTCCACATTTTCAAATTAAACATTTTACACTTAAAATTTACCATTAATATGTCTAACAAATTGAACCTTGATTACCATTAAATTCGTAGCAACCACTGCAACGTGGTATGAAGATATTTTGAACCAGTTGCATCATTACACTGTTGTTAAGTTAACGAACAAGAGTGTAGCCTCAGCACTCGATTTCATCTAGTGATAAGGTCAACTAAGCAAGGACTTTCTGGATACTAGGGTAGCCTAGTTAAAATACTAGTCTGAATACCAGGGCATTAGATGACATCGAGTGCTGAGGCTACACTCCTGTTCGTTAACTTAACA